AAGAAGGAAGGTATACCTTCAAATTCCCCTGAATTTCCTCTTTGAAGAAGGAAGGCATACCTTCAAATTCCCCTGAATTTCCTCTTTGAAGAAGGAAGGCATACTTTTCTAATCCCCCTGAATTCCCATTGAAGAAGGGAGATATGCCTTCTAATTCCCATTGAAGAAAAAGGTATACCTTCGAATCCCCCTGAATTCCCCTTGAAGAAGGGAGATGTGCCTTCTAATCCCCTTGAAGAAGGAAGGTATACCTTTCAAATCCCCCTGAATTTCCTCTTTGAAGAAAGAAGGCACACCTTCTAATCCCCCCTGAATTCACCCTTGAAGAAGGAAAGTATGTATACTTTCTTATTTTGTGAACTTAAACACAATTTACAATTGATTTAGAAAGTTGCACTTTGACAATTTTATTTTTTTAATTAGTCTTATACTCTGGAAGTCACATATCGAAAAGGTTTGTAAAATGAACGTAACTCACAATCTTGAAAGAATCGCGAAGAAACAACCGTGATGGTTTTTGAATACATATTTTTTTTATGAGAAATTTATGTTTTCAAAATGTTCGAGGTGACGCAACTGATTAATTAAACCGGAGATTGTTGTCACACAGTAGATTTCCATTTTAAGAAATAAGCGCCATGACCTGAGAAGTGCGCGGTAACCTTTTGGCGTATTTTTTTGTCAAGTGGACATTACAGCACAGGAGTAAAATATCAAAACAGTTGCTACGACTTTAAGTGTCTCAAGGTTGCTTGAAGTCAAAGACTTAAATGAAACATTGTAGACTATACCAGTGAGGAAAGCTGCGTTCAATCTATCCTGACGTACCCACAAGGATACAGATAGAAAACACCAGACAGGCACATGACACCAATCGTATAATTCTCTGTCAAGTAATGCTCGTAGATAGAAATACGAGGATCCACCGTCTCGCCGGATGCTGTTCGTTAGTTATTTCCGTTCCAGTCATTACAAAGTTCATCCTATTGTTTTCGAATAAAGGAGTACGTGAACGGTATTGAATTCGTATCCTAACGCTTCTCACCAGATGGCGCTATGATACAAAATTATGCAGTTCAAATACTGTTTTATTTGAAACCCTTATATCGGTTTGTTTGGAATTTCGCACAAAGCTACACTAGGGCTATCTGCGCTAGCCGTCCCTAATTTAGTTAGCAGTGGTAGACTAGAGGGAAGGCAGCTAGTCAACACCGCCGACCGCAAACTCGTGGGATACTCTTTTACCAACGAATAGTGGGATTAACCATCACATTATAACGCACCCACGGCTGAAAGGGCGAGCATGTTCGGTGACGGAGATTCGAACCCGCGACTCTCAGATTGCAAGTCGAGTGTCTTAACCATCAGGGAATCTCAAGCCAAATCCATATCTATGTTTTCGTTTTTTATATACATAAAATATGCTATTTTATGTATATCAAGTTCTAATACACGTCACAAAGAGGCTATTTTATGATACACAAAATCAACTTACTGTAAGATGAGTGTTTTTTGTGAACACCTAAGACGTGACTTAGGTAATTGAATTAGGAATTGTGTCAAACCAATGCTTCATTGGTGTTTCCTGTCTCTTTCCACCTGCACAGAAGCTACGAGATGGCATCCTATGTACTTAACCTGCTATGGTTACTTGGCTTCCTCCGCACAGTTAAGTAACTCAACATTTGCTATGTCTGTCGCACCCAGCTAGCCTGAAGAGCCCTGGTATTTAACGAAAGGACTCGCCGGCAGTGGATAGAGCAGATATAGTGTGATTGACATATTATTATAGAATTTTCATTACTTTCCTTCAGAATTACATTTTCGAAATGGCGCCACTTACAGTGCTATAGGTGGCCAATGAAGATGATATTTAGAAGTCTACAAATGTAATATGGCGTCGATGACACTATGGTGACGATGACACTCTTCAAACTTGTACATTCAGAAACGCTTGCTTACTACGTTGCTTTAATTTAAGATTAAAAAAAAATAGTGGCTCTTGCAGTCAATCACAGTTCATAAAGGTTTGTTTTGAATTTCGCGAAAAGCTACACGAGGGCTAGCAGTCCTTAATTTAGCAGTGAAAGACTAGAGGGAAGGCAGCTAGTCGTCAATACCCACCACCAACCCTTGGTTCATAAAGGAAAGCCTTATTTACGAATTTAATGTCGTGGCATGGTTTAATGGCTAGGTCGCACGACTGGCAATTTTCGGGTCACGGGTTCGAATCCCACCATCTAACATCAATCATTGTAATATGACGGTCAATCCTATTTTTGTTGATAAAGAATAGACCTCGAGATGACGGTGGGTGGTGTTGACTAGCTGCCTTCCCTTTATCTACCACTTCAAAATAAAAGATGGCTAGCACAGATGATCCTCGAGTAGCTTTGTTGGAAACTTAACAAACAAACGATTCTCATTCAATACTCAAGGCCAAATAACTAAAGATGAAATTTCTAACTATGTTATAATGTATCGAAATAGGTTATTGCTTGCGACTGAAAAACGTCTGTATGTTTCTCTGACGACTAAACATTACCTGTCTACTTTTCTAGCGACTAAGCACTATTAACTTATTCCTAGCGACTAAATTAAACATTATTTATCCGTTTCTATGACAACCAAGCACTGTCTGTCTATTTTGTAAGGATTGAATATATTAATGTTTTTAGTGAGTTGAAGGTGTTTTTTTATCTATAAATTGAGCGCCATCTATCCGTTATTCTAGAAACTGAGCACTGTAATAAATATTTGTTTTTCTAGAAGTTCAATACTATCTATCTTTGTTTTCCTAAATATTGAGCACTGGACTTTTATGTTTCTAGTAACTGAACATTAGTTATCTGTCTGTTTTTATAGCGACTGAGTACTATCTCTGTTTTATGTACAATTAAGCACAATCTTTCTGTTTTTATAACGACTGAGTACCATCTCTGTTTTATGTACAATTAAGCACAATCTGTCTGTTTTTATAGCGACTGTTATTTAGTTCTCTTATGCCTGTTATTGTTGTTTTGCATTTTCTCGCGAGTCTACACCAGGGCTATCTACACCTCTTGCTCCTAATTCCGAAAATGATAGACTAAAGGGAAGGCAGGTAGTCGACGTGACCCGCCGCCAATTCTTGGGCTGCTATTGTTTGACCGAATAGTTGAATTTAATCGTCTTTCCTATTTCACACCTAAAACCCAAAAGTGCGTGGAGGTGTGTGTGTGTGTGTAGGGGGGGGGGTGTTTGCAGAAAAGGGACGTGTATCGTTCCTCCACGGGTTCACAGGCCGGGCACGCTAACCACTGACTATCATTCGTGTATCTTTAATAACTGAATACTTGGTTTGTATTTCGCGCAAAGATACACGAGGGCTATCTGCGCTAGCCATTCCTAATTTAGTAGTGAACACTAGAGGAAGGGAGCTATTCATTACC